GCACACGCGCCTGGCGTGAGTTTTAAGCCACTGGGTCCGGGACGAGAACTGCGGTCGACTACATAGGAGTCCAGCGACATAGCCATTATGCTAATTGCTGGTTCCCAAGCCTGTTTTTGAATTGCAGTCTTGCTTGGGAATAAGATATGAGAGACAAAAATGACTTGGTTGACTTGTTCCAGGGATGTGACCCCCGCTGCTTTTTCTTATCCTCTCAGTGGCATTGCCAGTAGATCCCATGACTGGATTCAGCAATTGGAAGCTACCACAGTGAAAATCTCAAGAGGAGTACAAAACCCACTACATTTACTGAGAGACTGCTATGTTGCAGGCATTGGACCTTACGTTAATCTTTTTACAACAACCCTCAAGATTGTTAACATTTTTTCCTTATGTTTTTGTATGCAAAAAAAATGTCATGCTTTTCCTACAACCTAAGAACATGAGTTGAACCAAGCTCTAACTCAAAGCACACACTTCACTACTAGTAAATTAGCCTCTCTAAGCTTGTATAATTAGAAGTGAAATGAGCATAGAAAGCATTAGGGCACATGTTACGTGCTAGATGTCCCCCTTCAACTTGCTCAAACAACAGGAACCCTGAGTGTTCTCCACAGGCATCCATTGCTATATTTTCCAAGATAATTCTGATTTCAGGAATGTCACTTGGTTATCTCCTGAAGTTACTCAAACTTATACCACATGATCCAATTTTTTGAAAACGTCATGATGCCTATTAGGCTTCAGCCCCTCTTCAGCAGCCGGGACAGGCAGCAGCCTGTCAAATATTCCTATGGCACCAGCTCCCACTGCTCTCTAAGCAACTGACTGCAGAGTTCACTCTTGGATGGAGTAACATAGTTTTTGGTTCCTTTAGTTGCCATTTCTGACCCCGGCCCGCAGGTGGACGTTAAAGTAATCGGTGTGAGGTTTACGGAGAACGCGCTCACCCGGTGGTAGCTCCCCTGACCCGGGTCAGTCCTGGATACTGCATTGCCGGCAACTCTGCCGAGTCCACGGAGGAAAAAGGCCGCCAAGGATTCCTGCGCCCAGGCCGAGTTCTCAGCGCCCACAGGGTCAAGTCCAGTTTAGCTTACGCTGATTTCCCGTCGCCACGGCTAACCACCCAGTTCTTCCTCCAGGCCACGTTCTGCTGCGTGGCCGCTGCCTCTTGCAAAGTGGCCAAGACTAGCTGCTGGGTCCTGGCTGCTTCGTCCTTCCGCTGTGAGTTCTGCTCCGGCATCTCCTGCAGACAGGAATCGATTATCGTAGTCCCGGCCTCCAACCCAGGGGTCTCCGCTCGCTCGTCCCACTTGTGGACTCAAAGCTGCTCCTACCTTCAGCATTGCCTGTTTCTGCAGCTCTCCTGGGGCCACGAAAGCAAAGAGCGCGGAGCCCACGCCGGCCCCAGCGACCAGTACTGCGACCGTGACCAGGGCTTTTTGCATTGTCCCCATGGCTGACCACGCTACCAGCGAGACACCCTCCGGAGTTTCTGGCCGCTTAGAAAGGTAGTCAGAGACATCTCGCCGTCTTCTGCGCAGCCTAGAGCGACCTATACGGAAACCATAGAGAAGCGGCCGGGCTAGAGAGGACATGACCATAGAAACTTTGCCTAGAGTTCCTGGGTCTGGATAACTGAGGGAGAGCGTC